CGCCTGTAGCGCCATATATATATATATATACATTATATATGTATGTATGTATATATATGTATATATGTATGTATATATATATATATATGTATATATATGTATATGTATGTATATGTATGTATATGTATGTATATGTATGTATATATATATATGTATGTATATATGTATGTATATGTATGTATATGTGTATATATATATATATATATATATATATAGCACAGTAGGAGTCTCTCATACTGTTTTTCTCTAAAAAAAAAAAAGAAAAACTGTAATTGTGTGATATGCTTTAGACAGCTGGATGTCACTCGCCAAGTCGGCATGGAGCGCTTCAGTGAAGCTTAACAGTGTACTGTATTCTTGCAGCAACACCTGCAATGTGACTGAATCCTTAACAACGAAATGCTTTATATGATCTTGAGATCTTCCATCATTGTTACCACAATTATCCATGACTATTTTGCTAACCTTGTTCTGCCATGACCAAATGCATAAGGATGTAACTGGAACACAGTAGTTTTCACTCTAATCCGTTTGATATACACATTGGAAAAATGCACATGAACAGTGTGAGAAACAGCTCAAAGTGGAAAGTTTTTTTTACAGAACAACTACCAAGAATCGAAATGATTGATGGAGTCAAGACTGGCATAGTAATTTCGTGCAAAAGCATTGTCTTTTCTTGCTGCCATAATATAACACAAAACCACAATGCAGTTAATACGAAACACCAAAATGCGTGGGCAAGGTAATCAACACAGCTTTGCATAAGTAGCATAAGTATGCCCAAAAAAAATGCACCTGCAGTCCTGCAGTAGAACAAATCAGACTTTGAGATTATCAGACTGCCATAGCAACTTTGTATCACTATTTTTTTTTCTGTCATAACATAATAACACATTCACAATTCAATTAACACAAAAATGCATGGGCAAGCTAATCAACACAGCTCTGCCCAATTGTGCGAAAAAAGAAAAACAATGCACACGCAGTAGAAGAAAACATACAGAGATTATCAGAGTGACTGCATGAATCATATAATATCTGACTGGCAGGTATCTGCACAATCAAATTAGGGTGCACAATGCAGAAACCACTTGACGATCAAACACAGGCAGCATTGAGTTCCCTATAAGTAGCGATCAAAGGGGTCATCGATAGAAAAATCAAACGCATCACGGAGGCAACAAGAATCTTCTTCATCATGAACTGTGCCCTCAACGACCGTTATATTACAGTCTCCACTGGCCATCTTGACAGAACTCAGAGGCTTCACCAGTTTCTCGCCCACCTCATCCTGTGTGGAGAACATTCCATTCGCGACCACGATCACCATCTCCTGCAGCACCTGTCCACTTCCCAGGATGTACTTCAGGAAGGTGAGCTCGCTACGATCCCCTCGGTACCCATGGAAAACCACATACTTGATGCACGATTGCAAGCATTCTATGCGACCAGCCTCCTGCCAGAACTTGAGGTTGAGCCTGCCAACCGGTTCATCTGATTTCTCGGACTGCAAAAGAAATCGATTGGTGGCTCAGCTAGATAGTGATGGACAATCAATTTGTATTTCTTAGATAAAGGAATAAACAATCTGGCTGCACATCTGCGATGACAAGGCTATCGAAGGACAAATGATCCTAGCAGCAATCAATCAAAAGTTAACGACACGATGCAAATGTGCGCCGAACCAATGAATCAAAGGGTAAATTCACCTTGACGTGCAGCTTCTCGACATTGGGAAAGCATCTCAGGAAGCTAGGCAGCAACTTGGCTTCATTGCGGACTTCAAAACGCACCTTCAAGGCCAATACATTGATGCTTGGGATGATGGTTCTTGGGCTCGCCTTTGTCCCAGCCTGCAATTATGCAATGCAAGCATCAAACATCACTGATCAGGATATCTTAATTAGACCTACTACTCACGATTGTTGAACGGAATTGGATCAAAAGCGCAGGCGCGTGCACCTTGATGATGGTGTTGCCGTTCTCCAGGACATGTATTCCTGGCCTCAAGTATCCCAGCAACTGTAGATTGGGGGCATGGCCAATGCTCAATCTGGTGGCATGGTTGTCATCCTCAAACATCTCCCAAATCAATAGCCGCTCCAGGCGCGGGGCGTCCACCACGGCGATGTCCTCCGCGATGCACATGCAGATCTGCACGCACCGCAGGCTGTGGCTGGCGAGGCGGAGGAGCACAATCTGCCTCTGGCTGTAGTAGATGCCGAGGCACTCCAGGACGGGGCTGTTGGCGAGGACGAAGTCGAGGTCCCGGTCCTCCATGGCGACGCAGTAGAGGCCGAGCTCCCGGAGGTGGGGGAAGCCGGCGCCGCGCGGGAGGGCGGCGGTGTCCGGGAACTTCCAGGTGCCGAGGTAGAGGCGGCTGAGGGGCGCGAGGGCGAACACCGTGGCGGGGAGGGCGACGTCCAAGGGCCTGCGGCGGTTCACGAAGACGAGCTCGCGGACGCCCTTGACGGCGAGGAGGTGGAGCCAGCGCGCGAGGTCGCCGCGGCGAGCGCGAGCCCCCATGGCGGTGGAGGTGAGCTCGACGTAGCGGAAGGGGCCCGGGTGGGCCTCGAGGACGCGCGACACCGCGGCGGCGACGGCGCCGCTGGCGTCGAGCGCGAGTTGGCCCGCCTCCTCGCCCGGCGGGAGGAGGTGGCCGTCGACGAGGACGAGCGGCGCGGAGAGCCAGATGCGGCGCCACCGTGAAGACAGCGCGGCGGTGCGCACGGCGTCCTTGATAGGGAGGCGGGAGACGACGCCGCCGAGGAGGTCGTCGGGGAGCGCGCCGATGCGGTCCTCGGCGCCGGCGCCGGACAAGTCGTCGTCGTCGTTGGCCGAGAGGACGGCGTCGGGGTAGACGGGCGGGTCGGGGAGGGATGCCACGAGGAGTTTGCACATGCAGTCGGCGCCGAGGTCCAGCATCCGCGAGTCCACGCCGTCCTTCTCCATCTGAACAAGGACCTTCTCCATCGTCATGAGCGCCCGGTAATCCATGGCCGCCGCCGCCGCCGGGGTGGTGGGTGGGCCGGACGGCGAGGAGGCGAGGCAACGAGGGTTTTTGGTACCAGTAGAGTAGTACAAGAGAGGAAAGATCGCCAATGCGGCCAAACTGCCACGTAGGCGTGCTCACTCTGCTAAGGGCCCTTTGAATAGTAGGAATGAAAAAATAGACAAATAGGAAAAACATAGGATTCTGACAGGAATACAATTGTAAAACAGATGATTGCAAAATAAAGGAAAAACATATGAATGGCAGTTTGATTGGACCACAAGGAAAACGCAGGAATCAGATGAGAGAGATAGACTTAGAGGAAATGTTCCAAGAGGTTAGACCTCTTGCTAACTTTTCCTCTAAAATGTGCATAGGATTACCCATTCCATAGGAATTTTAAAAGATGGAATAGGATTCAATCCTTTGTTTCAAAGGCCTTTATAGAATTTTTTTTCTATAAGATTGAAATCCTCCAAAATTCTTTCATTTTTCCTACCAATCAAAAGGCCCTAAACAGTCCAAACTCCAAACCCACCCACTAAATTCGAACCCAAACATTGCACAAATTTTACAGAAATTTCAGGCCGATGGTACAGATAAATCTGGTTTATTTGACTTGTGATTAAAATAGTACTACAAATCGTAGTTCATACAAATGCTATTATAGTATCTGCGACATGACTTCTCAGTTATTTCTGAAGATTGATGAAAAAAAGTATAATTCGCTTGTTAAAAACAGTTAATTTCTTCCAAAAAGCAACAACTCACGATTTGTTTGCCAAAAACCGGAAGTCCAATGCCTACCGCTGTCATCCCTCCCCCCCCCCCCCCCCCTCATTTTTCACTTTTATCAAACGTTTATCGCCACAAAGTACGGACCTCCAGTATTAATCCATAATCCTCATCAATCCAGTGGGGTATTGAACAAAATTTGCCAACAAAATATCTGAAAGAGATGTGAACAACAGTCAACAGGGGCAAAATGAACTCAAGCGGTATGATTGTCTTCCCAGTTTCCAGGTATGTGCATTGTAAAGAAGCACATGAGCACTAAAAAACAGATGAAAAATTCCCAGGCAGTAATTAGTAGCATAGCAATTCAAGTGGTGAAATTAATCATTATAAAACAAAGTGACTACTTCCCATTTCAGTACTTATGCACCACCTGTACCAGGAAGAAAAAACATGGAAGAAACATTGTGTAATACTAATGCAATAACAATACCACCAAAATCAGACAAAATCTAGCAAGGGAAATCACACGCAATGCAGATATATTACCAACAGTTGTCATTCAGATAATGATAGTTTTTGGCATAAGAAATGCTACTGCTGACTTTAACACTGAGCCCACATGCTAGTGGAATGCTTCAACATCCTTCAAAACAATTGCATGCCAACAATGCAAAACAGTGCCATGCAAATGCAGTCATGCATTCAGATTTCAGATACCACTAGAGAAAGCTTTCCATGAACAATAGTCAAATCAGATGACATCCAGACATTTGGAAATCTCAATGGCATAATTAAACGGTCACTTGTATATCCTTCGAAACAAAGAATGGGTCACTCAGAGAAAGATCAGATGCTCTCATGTAGCTGAACGCGGGAGGACCTTTTCTATATCCAACCATCATCAGTGAACACTTCTTACTGGCACTGGTATAGTCTGTGGAAGCTAGTGACTTCATTGTGCTCATGGCCTGATCCACAAAAGCCGAATTCTCAGGATCCACGACAAACACCATCTTGTCCAGCATTTGAGCCCTCTCCAGAATGAATTTGATGAATTCGAGCTCGTTGGCACCCCCTCTGAACTGATCGAACACCACCTTCTTGATGCTCGACTCCACGCATTCTATATGCCCAACCTCCTGCCAGAACTTGGAGTTGAGCTCGCCATTGGACTCATCCACATTATACTGCAAAACGCAAGCGTCTGGTTAAGTCAAAGATGGAGCATGTAGCTGCAGATTTTACACAGTGATGAACTGATCATGCATATCAACAACCTTTATATGAAGTGCCTCAACATTGGGAAAGCATCTCAAGAAACTGGGCAAAATCTCCATTTCCTTGCGGGCTTCAAAATTCACATTTATGCCCAATATCTTCACACTAGGAACTTTTGCCATCGGGCTCACATCCGTCACCCCAGCCTGCAAATACAAATCAATGCGCGATTACAAAACCCTCCACATCAAGAATTATCCAGCAATTCAAAGAAATTACAGCAGGAAACAATTATCATGAGCAGAGTGAACCTTGATAATCATGCCGCCGATATGAAGCGCGTGGATGCCCATGTCCAAGTAACCGAGCACGGTGAGCTGCGGAGCGTAGCCTATCTCGATCTTGATGGGTTCTTCCTCGCAGGGGTACGTCCCCCAGAGGATGAGCCGCTCTAGACACGGGGCGTCGACGATGGCGAGCTCGTCGATCATGGACCACCAGAGCAGAACGCACCGGAGGCTGTGGCGGCTCTCGACGCGGACGCGCGAGGGGGTGCCGTAGCCGGCGACGAGCGCGAGCTTCTCCAGCGCGGGGCAGCAGGCGAGCACGTGGTCGAGGTCCCCGTCATCCATGATGGTGTGGCAGATGCCAAGCTCCTGGAGGTGGGGGAAGACGTCGGGGCCGCGTGGGTGGCCGGTGGTGTCCGGGAAGCGGAAGACGCCCAGGTAGAGGCGGCGGAGGGAGGCGCAGCGGAGGATGGTGTCCGGGATTCTCACGTCGAGCGGCCACGGGCGGTTGACGAGCACGAGGTCCTCGACGCCCTTGGCCGCGAGGAGGCGGAGCCAGTCCGCGAGCGCGTCGACGTGCCGGCCCAGGAAGAAGTTGATGACGCCGACGAAGCGGAGGGGACCCGGGTGGGAGGCGAGGACGCGCGTCACGGCGTTCGCGACAGCGTCCCTGATGCTGCGGAGGGACGCGCCGGCGGCGGCGGAGATGTGCGGCCCCTGCGGGAAGAGGTCGCCGTCGATGAGGACGAGAGGGGTGGAGCGCCAGATTCCGCGCCAGCGGGAGGAGAGCGCGGTGGTGCGGGCGGCATCCTTGGTGGGGAGGCGGGAGACGATGTGGCGGAGGAGGTCGTCGGGGAGGGCGCTGATGCGATCCTCGCCGCCGCCCCCGGCGGATGAGGAGGAAGTGAAGGCGGCGGAGAGGGTGGCGGTGGGGGAGACGGGATTTTCGGGGAGGGAGGAGTAGACCAAGTGGAGGATCGTGTCCATCGTCATGGCCGCCGCGAGCTTCGGCTTCCGAGTTCCGACCAGTGAGTCGGTGAGAGAACCAAGCCGACTAGTTAAGTAGGCAGGCTGCTACGCGAGTGGGGGCCTAGGGTTTGGCTATCATGGGCCGGATGCGTATGGGCCCACGAACGTTCTTCGTCTTGGCGTTAACTATGTACTACCTCCGTTGTGTGTGTCCAAATTCATAGCTAAAAATATTTATATTTTAGGACGGAGGTAGTAGTCAGTACTACTACATTTTGTTGATCCCAAAATTAAACCATCCTAGTTAACTATTCTTGCAAACAACTTGTTTGAGTACTGACTACTCAAAAACTAGGGTTTACGGAGGAGGGTTTTAGAGTAAGTATAGAGTAAGTACTAAGCACTTGGCCATAAATACCATGTAGAAGCATTTGATGATATGGAATGAGAAAAAGAAGAGAAGGAAGGAGTCATGTAAGAGTAACATCTACAAATCTACAAATGTGGGAATAGTAACATCTACGACTACACCTCTCATGTAAGAGTTTGTGTGTTATATGTTAGTACTTCTTAATTTATAGAAAGATAATATTGATAATATTAGAGCTAGCAGCCACCTCTATTATAAAAACTTGCTTTTACGTGCGTGCACAGTGATTCGTGCACTAGAGTGACTGATAATTTGGATACAAGTGGTCAAAAGGAAGCTTCACCTTTTTTTTTTCTGATTGTTCTCCAGAACTGACAGATAATTTAGATACAGATGAGCAAAGGAAGCTTCTGAGCGTCTATTATTGTACATTTGTTACCAAGTGCCATATAAGTCTTCATGATTGTGTGCATCCTGCTCTGCTATCACCCCGGAACCAAAAGTGATATATGCACATGTCACCCCGGAAACAAAACATTGAGAAAACCTGATCTGCTATCAGATAATCCAGCCAAATTGCTCAGGAGCCCTGCAGCTGCTTGTGCCTACGTTTGGTTACAACTTCACGAACACCAGGGCAGCCTGATAGTCCAATGTGGACAACCAATCCAAGTGACCACACACATGGTTTCTATTCACATGCTAGGAGTAATTTGTACCATGTTAACAGCTATGACAATATGATTCCATGCACAGCACACAGCCATACACAATGCACTCTGATCAAAGATGAACCATTGGACCACACATCTATAGCAGCAAACAGCTAGTTAAACCTTGCAGATAACCAAAGTTGCATCAACAATGCTTCAATTCAGTTTGTGAGCATACATGACACGACGATCGAAAGTAGCTCTTGCAAATATATGTGTTGATATGAGTAGTTTCTGCAAACTTTCACCTATACCCGGCATGTGTGGCAACAAAAATCTCACTTCCACAGACCACAAGTTAAGAGTTGTACTCATGCTTGTTACAGCCAAATATGTGCTCATGCTTGTGGGAGCTGACATTGTCTGTGCTAGTAAAACATAAGACATGCCTATTATCTACTGTATCATCTGAAAGAATATCTGGCATTATGTAGTTACTGAAGCATGAAGCTTCCCATTCTCCAAGAATAAAATAGTATTTGTTAAGACTTACTAGTTGTGACAGCAAATTCTGCTTATCCTTGTCAGAGCTGATATAGGTCGTGCAAAATTTGTCAAGCATCTGAAAATGGCTAACTGGCTGTCATGTAGGTACTGTCATACTGAAACCTGATCATCTTGAGCTTCAGCAGTAGTCAAAAGGGTCATTCACAGAGAGATCGGATGCTCTGTGGAAGGACCAAGCACTACCACCTTCAAGCGCAACGATCAAGAGCGTAGGGTTCTTGCTGGCCCTTTTCGCCATGGCCAGGGGCCTCAGCTTGGCGCGCATCTCGTCCACCCAGGCCTGGTCTCTGTTGGCCAACACAACCACAATCTTCTGCAATGCCTCGGCCCTCTCCAGGATGAACTTGAGGAACGCGAGCTCGCTCCGCTCCCCTCTGAACATGTGAAACACCACCTTATTGACGTGTGAGTGCAGGCACTCGATTGGGCCGACGTCATGCCAGAACTTGAGATTGAGCTTGCCGGTAGGATCATGAGCATCATCTGACTGCAGACAAATAGAGAATCAACAATATCGATAGTAACCACGGATTGTTCACGCAGTGGGGGCAATCAGACATTATACAATAACTAAATGAGAGTGAGTAGAATCTCACCATGACATGTAATGTCTCAACATTGGGAAAGCATCTGAGAAAGACGGGCAGCAACTTGGCTTCATTGCGGATCCCAAATCGCACCTTCAAGGCCAAGATTTTGACACTTGGTACCGTTTTATCTGAACTCATCTTTGTTCCAGCCTAGAATACAAATCAAGATTGCAATATGCCCATGGATCAGCAAAGGAAATTGCATAGTTTGACACCATGTATTGCTATTGGCAAATATGAGCTGATGAAATAAAATTGAGATGGAGCAGATCACTAAGCTCACACACCTCGATGGTGGTATTGCCGATCTCCAGCTCGTGCATTCTTGGTTCCAAGTAGCCCAGGACTCGCAGCTCTGTGGCGTAACCAATCTTGACCCTTGTGCGGCAAAAGATTTCGCCGGGGAAACCCATGAACGTCTTCCACAGGATGAGGCGGTCGAGGCGCGGGGCGACGACCAAGGCGATCTCCTGCGCCAGCGACATCCAGAAGAGCACGCAGCGGAGGGTGCGGCTGCGCACGCGGATGTGAGCGGGGGAGTAGGAGTTGGAGACGAGCGCGAGCGTCTCCAGGACGGGGCTGCACTGGAGCAAGCCGTCGAGGTCCTGGGCGTCGATGCTGATGAAGCAGAGGCCGAGCTCCCGGAGGTGCGGGAAGACGTGGGGGCCGCGCGCGCCGCCGGGGATGCCCGGGAAGGTCCAGAACGCGAGGTAGAGGCTGCGGAGGGAAGGGATGCGGAGGATATCGACGGGGAGGGGCAGGTCGAGCGGGTAGGGGCGGTTGGCGAAGACGAGGTCCTGGACGCCATTGGCGGCGAGGAGGCTGAGCCAGTAGGAGAGCATCGGCCAGTGGGTGGCCATGTTGCAGCAGGTGAGGTGGACGCAGAGGTAGGGGCCCCGGTGGGAGGTGAGGACGCGGGTCACGCGGGAGGCGGCGGCGGCCAGGTCGACGCGGTGGGAGTGGCCGCGCCGGAGGTCCTCGTCGGGGATGTCGAGGAGGTCGACGTCGTCGAGGACCAGCGGCGTGGACGCCCAGACGCGGCGCCAGCGCGTGGAGAGCACGGCGGTGCGCGCCGCGTCCCTGGCCGGGAGGCGGGACACGATGTTAGAGAGCAGCGCGCCCGGAAGGCGGCTGATGCGGTCATCGCCGCCGCCGCCGCTGCCGCCGCCACCGCCCGCCGAGGAAGAGAGGGAGCCGTGGGATGTGGAGAAGGGCGCCGGGGTGGGGAGGCAGGTGAGGACGACGCGCATGATGCCCTCCATGGTGTCCGTCGACTCCTCCATGGCGTGGGCGCACATCGCCCTAGCCATGATGTGGTCCAGGTGCGGACGGGGACCGTGGCTCGATCGCGGGTGGCGGGCGCGCTCGGTAGCTCTCATCCCGCCGGCGGCGACCAGCGTAGGCATTGCCGGCGGCTGGCGGCGTCTCGCTCCGGCCGGCCGGTGCCGAGGAAGAGAGAGGGCGAGAGACGCGGAGGACGAAATGGGGGAACCTGAAAAGCGACGACAGGATGACATGTGGGCCCAATTTTCTTACTTTCTGTTGAGTTTTATAAGAGCAAGTTTAATAATATAGCCCACTACTAGTTCCAATTCATACAATAGTTGGTTACTATACTATTAACTAGCATGGTGGCCCGCGCAGATTGCGCTGCTAGCATCATTATATTTTCTCTCATATAATAGCATATATATTTTCTAATTATATTATTCAAATATATTAAAATGACAACATAATTGTAAATTTTGCAATAACTTTACAAAGCTACTAATGTGTAATATTCATATTATATTTTATATACTTGTTATTTATTAATTATTTTTAATACCAAATTTTAGTTATTTGTAAATTATATATATTCCTATATGGACTCTAGACTCGTCTTTTAATATTTCTTTTTTTAATTCCGAATTTTCTATAAATTGTATTTCTATATAGACTCTATGCTTTTCTTCCAATATTATTTATTTTATTTCTGAATTTTCATATTATATTTTATATACGTGTTAGTCATTAATTAATTTTAATATCAAATTTTAGTAAATTATAAATTATATATATTCCTATATGGACTCTAGACTCGCCTTTTAATATTTATTTTTTTTAATTCCAAATTTTATGTAAATTGTATTTCTATATAGACTCTATGCTCTTCTTTTAATATTATTTATTTTTATTTCTTAATTTTTATTATTTATAATTGTATTTCTGTGTGGACTCTAAACTCATCTTTCAATATTCTTTAATTTTTTAATTTCGAATTTTAGTTACTTCTAAATTGTATTCCTATATTGACCTTAAACACTTATTCCCATGTTTTTCTTAATTTTGAATTTCAGTTATTTTTAAATTGTATTTTTATACGGACTCTAAACTCTACTTTTAATTTTATTATGTTTATTCTAAATTTTAGTTAGTTTTAAATTCTTATATGGACTCTATACTCTACTTCTAATATTCCTTATTTTTTAATTCCGAATTTCTATTTTTTTTCTTAATTGTATTTCTATATGGACTCTGTACTCTACTTCTAATATTCCTTATTTTTTAATTCCGAATTTCTATTTTTTTTTCTTAATTGTATTTCTATATGGACTCTATACTCTACTTCTAATATTCCTTATTTTTAATTCCAATTTCAGTTATTTCCTAATTGTATTTCTATATGGACTCTATACTCCACTTCTAATATTCCTTATTTTTAATTCCGAATTTCAGTTATTTCCTAATTGTATTTCTATATGGACTCTAGTCTCCTCTTCTAATATTCCTTGTTTTTAATTCCGAATTTCAGTTATTTCCTAATTGTATTTCTATATGGACTCTAGTCTCCTCTTCTAATATTCCTTATTTTTCAATTCCGAATTTAAGATATTTCTTAATTGTATTTCTATATGGACTCTAGTCTCCTCTTCTAATATTCCTTATTTTTTAATTCCGAATTTCAGCTATTTCTAAATTGTATTTCTATATGGGCTCTGTTTTTTCTTTTTTCTGATTAATGTGAGAATTTCTAGGCCATGAGAGCGAACGTGAAGGCTTCTTTTTCTATTCCTTTAATAATATAATAGATACCTAGTCTCACATGTCATACACACATTACGTCTTGGAGTCCGTGCTGCAGCTGGCTACAGATCTATAGCCCGTTGCTTTTCTCTCTCTTCCTTTATCTCTTTAAAATATGTTTATAGCTGGCTTATAGCCTGCTATTGTACCTGCTCTAAGGCTGCGTTCGTTTGGAGAACAAAGGGAGTGAGTTTGTTTCGTTTTCCGTACGCACGCTTCCCGAACTACTAACCGTTGCGTTTTTTACAAAAATTTTCTATAGGAAAGTTACTTTAAAAAATCATATTAATACATCTTTAAAGTTTAAAATAGTTAATATTTAATTAATCATGCGCTAATGGCTCACCTCGTTTTGCGTATCTTCCCAATCCTCTCTATCTCCTCAAACACAGCCTAAAAATTGTTTTGCTCGATGGTTTGAACTTTGAAGAACTGAGAATTGAGTAAATACCCTATTCGTAATTTATGGTTGATTTTCAGAATTTGGTGAAACTTTAACGTCAGAAATATACTTTCCTATAATAAGTGTCATTTTGCTTCCAATGTAATCTTTAGTTTGCATCACATGATCAAACTACCAAGTACTCCTCCTTCCGTCCCATAATATAAGGGATTTTGGAGTGATGTGATATTTTCTAATATTATGAATCGGGACAAATGTCTATCCAGATTTATAAAACTAGAGAGTGTCACATCCTCCAAATCCCTTATATTTTGCGACGGAGGGAGTATCAACGAATTGACCAAGTTATCTTTGATCACCACAAAGTGAAAGCAGCACACCTCATGATTATGACAAACCTACTTGTGCATAAATTATGCAGCATTTCCCTAGTAGGAGTAAGTCATATCCACAACATTCTGAATTCGTGCAGCAAATGCATCTTGAATAATGTGAGTAACTATGCTAGAACTGTTTCCATAGCATCAATCAACAATACCAACACAACTCGAAGCATCACAGTACAATCTCACGATCTGACATTCGCATCAACCATATGTGTCCATATGAATACTACAACTTGATACATAAACGAATAAGCAGGGCATTTCGTGCTCAATTGCACCAACACTTAGCATAAATTGGCGAACAGGGCATTGCATTGCATGCACTTAGACCAGATCACTAACCCAAAAGGCATCCCACAGAACATCACGAAGAAATGGACATGTCATTAAGTATATATATATATCAGTATAAATGTAGTGCTTAAAATAGTTAAATAGCTTAAGCTGATAAGCCATTGCACGAGAACTACAGGCTAGAACTACACACTCTTCATGCCAGAGCTGACCAACAAAACCATCTTCTAGACAAATCATAATCTAAATATCTAAACAAGCTTCTTGCATTTGCATATGCATAGATAGTGAAAAAGGAAAAAGGAAAGCTAGTAACGTCCCTAGCTTTAGCAAAATAGCAATGATGTATCATGAAATCTACTCAGCTAAGCCGTGTGCCTGAGCTTCAGCAGTCAAAAGGGTCACTCCTGGAGAGATCAGACGCTGTTCGGAAGCTCCAGGAGGTGCCTCCACAGCGCACAAAGATGAAAAACTCTGCGCATTTACTGGCACGATGTGTGCTGTAAATCAGAGGTTTCAGCCTGTTACCCAGCTCCTCCTGCGAAGCGTGATCTCCATCTCCATCAGTCAACACGACCACCAATGTCTGAAGGATCTGGGCTCTCTCCAAGACAAACCGGAGGAACGCAAGCTCGCTTCGCTCTCCGCGGAAGTTCTTGAACACCACCTTCTTGATGTGTGCCTTGAGGCATTCAACAGGGGCAACATCCTGCCAGAACTTCAACTTGAAGTTGAGCTTGCCAGTGGGTTCATCAGCTTCAGCAGACTGCAGATTCATCAGCATGTCGTAGCTAGTTAAGGCCTTGTTTAGTTTCCAATTTTTTTTTCCTAAAACCGTCACATCAAATCTTTAGACACATATATGGAGCATTAAATATAGATAAAAACAAAAACTACTTGCACAGTTTGTATGGAAATGGCGAGACGAATCTTTTGAGCCTAATTAGTCCATGATTAGCCATAAGTGCTATAGTAACCCATATGTGCTAATGACGGCTTAATTAGGCTCAAAAGATTCGTCTCATGGTTTTTAGGCGAGTTATGAAATTAGTTTTTTCATTCGTGTCCGAAAACCTCTTCCGACATCAGGTCAAACGTCCGATGTGACATCCAAAATTTTTCTTTTCGCGAACTAAACAAGGCCTAAGTTTGATAATCCACGGATTTCATGTAGCAGCAATGTATCAGCCCCAATAGATGGTGCAAATGTCTGGAACTCTGGATGAGGAGAATAGGGGATGAGATCTCACCATGATATGCAACGTCTCGACATTGGGAAAGCATCTCAGGAAGGAGAGCAGCATCTTGGCCTCCTGTCGAACTCCAAATCGAACCTTCATAGCCAGGACCTTGACAGTTGGAACCATGGTGCCAGGGCTCGGCTTTGTCCCAGCCTATAGTTTCATGTGCAATTCGCAATCAGAACACAATTCACAATGCCATGAATCACTAGACACATACAAAATTACAAAGCATATATACAAGCAAGACCTCGATGACGGTGTTGGCGATCTCGAGCACGTGGATTCTTGGCTCCAAGTAGCCGAGCACCTTGAGCTCTGGGGTGTAGCCGATCTTGACCCTGGTGCGGAAATCACGGCGGACACGGCGGGTGCAGGGGCACCCGTTCCACAGGATGAGCCGCTCGAGCCGCGGGGCGACGACCACGGCGAGCTCCTCCGCGATGGACATCCAGAAGAGCACGCAGCGGAGGCTGCGGCTGCGGACGCGGACGTTGGGCTGCGTGTTGTAGCTGACGACGAACGCGAGCGTCTCCAGCGCGGGGCTGCACTGGAGCAGGCGGTCGAGGTCCTTGGCCTTGATGTCGGTGCGGCAGATGCCGAGCTCGACGAGGTTGGGGAAGACGTCGGCGCCGGGGCGGAGGTGCTCGGTGTCGGGGAACGACCTCCAGAGGCCAAGGTAGAGGCGGCGGAGGGAGGAGACGCGGAGGACATCGGCGGGGGGCTCGACCCGTACCGGCCAGGCATGGAGGAAGACGAGGACGAGCTCCTGGACGCCCTTGGCGGCGAGGACGCCGAGCCAGCGCGAGAGCGCGGCGGCGCCGCGGGAGCCCGCGTAGCTGCAGGCGTTCGTGAGGCGGACGCACCGGAACGGGCCCGGGTGCGCGGCGAGGACGCGGGAGACGGCGTCCGCGACGTCGCGCCAGAAGATTTGGGGGCCGTCGTCGTCGGGGAGGAGGTCGGCGTCGTCGAGGACGAGCGGCGTGGAGGCCCAGACGCGGCGCCAGCGCGGGGACAGCACGGCGGTGCGGGCGCCGTCCTTGACGGGGAGGCGAGAGACGATGCTCGATAGCACCGCGTCCGGGAGGCGGCTGATGCGGTCCTCCCCCTCCCCCTCCCCCTCCTCGCCGTCGTCGTCCCCGCCGCCAAAGGCAGCGGAGAGGCAGCCGCCGGGCGACGCGGGTGACCGCATGCCGGGGATGCAGGCGAAGATGGCCCGCATGATGTCGTCCATCGGCGCCCCGGCCGGCCGGCGGCGAGGCCGACGAGAGGGTTTTGGAGTGTGGAGGAGAGGAGAGGAGAGGAGAGAGGCGAGAGGTTTGGTTTGGTGGAGAGAAAAGCTGGAGACGTGCAGTCGTGTAGCTCGTGCTCCCCGTAGTCTAGTGTTGTAGTAGCCTTGTAGTTGTTGGGTTCGGTCTGTGCTTCTTACTGGGCCAAATGTTGGGAGTGGGTTCCTCGCGGGCCCATCAGCCAGTTGCTTACTGTTTTTTTTCCTCCTCCCTGACAGAACATTAGGGTCACTAATTATACCGATTAGCACAACATGATCGCGACGTAATTAATCACACCGTGCCGCTGCGTGCTCCGACTATAGTGATTAAGCTAGATTAAACAGCAAGTTGTGATCATCTAATTCCGTCATTTACTCTATTTCATGGATTTAGCATAGCAATAAACTTCTGGATGGTAAGGTTTGGATGGCTGAAGCCACCAAGAACTGCTCAAGGGCTGCAGTGCTGCACTGCACGAGACAGCTGCATATACATGTTGCGAGAATAATATCTAAGAGAATGGCAACATTTTTTTTTTGTCAACTCAAAGCTCACTCCACTCTTGCTACTCGCATAGGCTGGGAAACAATCATAGAAATGCTAAACCTAAGAGTAACATTGCCTAGGGTTGCCATAGTTTTTTTTGCCAAGCTTATCTAAGGTTAGGCGAACAAATTTGGCACCACACTTTAGCTAACAATCTATAACATTGCCACATTTTTCTAAGATAATGACACGTGGGACCAGAGTGCTAGAAAGAGAATCTTGCCACAAGTGTGGCAATGAACCAAACGCATGGCTAACTTAGTCAAAACCGCCTAACTTGAGGTGTGGCAAAGTGTGACAACATGTGGTCACCAACCAAACAACCCCTAAATTTCATAAAACTGCAATTGTTTTGTCAATTGCTACAATTTTAGATGGGAATTTCAATAAACTGCGACAATAGCAAATGATTTTCTTTTTCACTGGGCTGACTGAAGATAGCCGAGTAAAGTTTGTTAAGAAGAGAGCAGGAACAGAGGATTACAAATTCAACAACAGAGTTTTATAATGCTTAATTGATTATAAGGAGAGCAATTCGACGTCAACAACTACGAATGGAGCTAGCAAGATTTAATCCATTTAGTTGTACAAGGTAGCAGAACCAAAGCATAAACTGTACAAACTATGATAAACATGCTCTTCCATTCCTTGGATCACGGCCTGACTCTGGCTGGTCGCAGTCTTTCCGAATTCTGACGGGCAACGTTTAATTCTTGCGATGGTAGCCTTCTATGGAAAATCAGAAGACATGGTACACCTGTAAAACAAATCAACAAAATAATAAATCCAAGCCATATTAGAAATGGCTAAACTATTATGCTTCTTCAAAAGGAAGTAATTCAGCTACCAAGGGAAACAATTAAATATTAAAATTGAGATGGTTTGATGCACTATTGCCTGATAGTACAATCAGAAATTAGTTGATTCAATAGCTCATCAATCCAAAAATATAATGAACTTTCAATCATGTAAAGGCCAGGTTTTATCTAAAAAAATTATCCTTCAATCATATCCAGGTCAAGTACAAAGAAACACTATACTCAATGTTCTGCCCCGATTACCCAGATACTATACTCGTCTGAATCATAACTAAGTGAATCCATCAGAAGTCAGATGCCTCACATCATATTCAGCTTGAAGTGCAAATGAACTTAGCAAATGCCCAAAAAAACATATATACACTCTTACAGAAGCAATGCATAAACATCATTGAAGAGTGCCCTGCAATGCAGAATGCACCGATCCATCTGGCCAACACCCAACATGGGTTGATTGAGACTACAAAAAATCAGCAGAACAGCATACTGACCAGCAGCTGATTAAATGTAATAGTTTGCAGCACACAGCCACAGGTGCGAACAGTAGGGCGTTATCAACACAGTTGGATTTCTGGTATGTTGTTCACGTGGATTGCTTACGTTGCTGAATAATATTATTAGAACAAAACTTTGGTTGGACATTCAATATTGTATATTCTGATGACAGTCAAAAGTGGTCTAGCCATCTAATTCTTAAATGCAAGATCATGGATGTAGGTACATCATTTTCTTGCTGCTTGCAGCAGTAACAAAAAATTGCAGCAACAAGATAGAGCCAATTTTCCCAAGGTATACTAGGAACCAACAAAAGCTACTGCATACTACAGAAGTATAAAAGGTGCAAGTAAGATCTACATTCTGCACGATATAAAAGTTACTGTTAATATATCTCCCTCTCATATCTTGATGGTCACAACAAATAAAGTTTGATCATATCACACGTCAGTACCATGGAAAGAACAGTTTTTGAAATCAAAAGGCTCAACCATTCAATGCAAGGAGGCAGGTTTATCCACAGATCAGCATGGAATGCCATAGGTGGAGCTTAGATTATAAATGTAACCAAGATTGACTTCAGCAGAAATGAAGTGTTTATTGATTACAACTGCCGCAGCCACAACAGCTTCGGCAGCAAGACGAGCAAGCAAATGGGTCACTCTGCAACATGTTGCTGGCTCTATGGAAATTCCAAGGATAAGACTTGTCATGACTCTCCACAACCACTGTAGCATCTGCAGACACACACCCTTCTGAAGACAAATGACTCAGCACGACAACTCTAGAGGAACCATCATCCACAAAAATAAGCATCTGCTCCAACATTTGGGCTCTTCCCATTACAAACTTTACAAATGCCAGCTCACTGTCTTTGCCTCGAGCAGCTTGAAACACAAACTTCCTCAGATGTGAATGGACACATTCCGTGTAGCCTACTAGATCCCAGAACTCCACTCCAACATTAACTGGTGTCTCAGAAGGAACTGACTGTATTTCAGGCAAACAAGATGATTCAGTCAACAGGAGCACACACATATTACAAAGTGAATAATGCAGTGGCTTAAGATTAGTACCATGATATACAATGTTTCTAAGCATGGGAAGCATCTAAGCAACAGGGGCACCAGTTTCACTTGCTCCTCGACACCAAACTGCACCTTCAACGCCAATGTCCTGAGGGTCCGAACCATTGCACTTGGCTTCACCTTTATCCCATCCTACGACACAAAAAAAAGCAGTTACACAAATGCAATTTCACATAATTGTGAAAAACAGCAAGGAGCTGCCACAAGAAACAGCCAGCAACCTTGATGACAGTAGAACCGATCTTGAGCTGGTGCAGACCGACATCGAAGTACCCAAGAACCTTTAGCCTTGGCGCATTGATGATCTTGACGTGCGTGGATGCTCCGGCGATCGGCTCCAGAAGCAGCCGCTCCATGTTGGGGGCATCATCGAGGTGCACCTCTCTGACCATGGACATCCATAGCACCACGCACCGGAGGCTCCCCGACCAGATATGGACGTATCTTGGGTAGTCCTGTGTAAGCACGAGCGCGAGGCTCTCGAGCTCGGGGCAGCGGGGGAGCACGGCGTGAAGCTCGCGGTCCTGCATGGAGGAGTGGACAACAACGATCTCCTGCAGGTTGGCGAAGGCTGGAGGGAGGCCGGCTGTGTCCGGGAACTGGCAGAGGCCGAGCCAGAGGCGGCGGAGGGAGGCGCAGCCGAGGAGATCGGGTGGGGGACGCCACTCGATGGGCCATGATCCGTTCACGACGGCGAGTTCACCGACCTCCTTGGCGGCGAGGGAGGCGAACCAGGACGCGACGACGTCGGGATCCACGGTTGCCAGGTGCGCGGAGGCGAGGCGCGCCGAGGCGACTGGGCCCGGGTGGGCGGCGAGCGCCGCGGTGACGTCGCCCGGAGCGAGGCCGCCGTCGTCGAGGTGGAGAGGGATGGAGGCCCAGACGCGGCGCCAGCGGGAGGAGATCGCGGCGGTGCGGGCGGCGTCCTTGGTGGGGAGGCGCGAGACGACCCTGCGGAGGAGCGCGTCGGGGAGCCGGCTGATGCGGTCCTCTTCGTCCAGCGAGAAGACGGCGGCCGCGTCGGCGGCGGAGGGAGAAGAAGGGTGAGAGTTCGCGGTGGAGAAGGTGGGAGGCGGGAGGTAGGAGAGGACGGCGGCGAGGGTTTCGTCCATGGCGGCGGCTGCGGCGGTGGTCGGCGGCGGCGGAGGGAGGATGGCGAGTTGGTGGGGTCAGGAAAGGGAAGCGGTGAAATGGCGTGACGATGAGTGGTATGGGCCGGAAAGCCCGGCATTGGTCCAACAAATCGAGGCCCAAATAGTGTGGGCCTTAATCCAAGGCCATCTATATATGGGCCGAAATTTCAGTGAAAATCCTTTAATGGATCAAAATCTTACTACTTGTTTTCTTCCGGCAAATTCAAATTTAAAACAACCTACTTGGAATTCAAGCCAGATAACCAATCAGGGCTCCCTTCATATTTGACTTTTTTTCGAGACACCTTAGAATTGTTTGACCCGTATTTGTACATCGTTATCTAAATTAGAACATCCTTCGTAGAAATGCTTTCGAACAAACGTCCTAAGAATTCAAAATATCGGATCCTTATCCGAAACCGCCAACTACCAACTCAATCCTTATCCGAAACCACCAACTACCAACTCCTCCACCACACATTCCTTTTTTTTATCTCTTCTTCTCTTTTGCTCTATCTCTATCCTCGGAGCTTCAGCACTACCACGTTGTCAGAAGTCGGGAGAGATGACGAAGCCATCGTCGCCGGTGGTAGTGGTGATGGGGTACGTAGGACATCACAGGATAGGGATTTGTAGGAGGCGTTGGACCTCACCGCCTTGCCGATGGCCACACTGCAGTCATACTGCAGTAGCTGAGCAAGACAACATGAAATAGGGAGGAGACGCTCGACTTGGCATCTGACGGAGATCAAACGCGGACGCGACTGGCCCTGGCCAAGGTTGCCCGTCTCACGCCGTAGCTCGTCCGTGTCCTTCCCTAGCCAATACATTTTCCCCGCCGCATCATTCACTAGTTCCAGTGGTCGGAGTAGAAATAGATAGAGGTGGGTTCATTTTGTTAGAGTGTAGTGATGTTATACTTTATTGTATTAAGGTGTTTCATTTTGTTTCGATTGAATGTTGCATGTATTTATTCTTCGCATTGCAATTGGTATGTTTCGAATATTGCATTTGGTTGAAACACTTTTGTTAAAGCTATGAAACATTTTCCTCCGATCGATGAAATGTATAACATTTTCATTAAGTGGTGTAAAATGTGAAATATTTTACAATAATATAGGGTAACACTGTCCGATGTTGCGGACATCAAGCCATAGTCGGCTCCCATCCTTCATCCTTGCTTATATGTAGCGAATCAATTTGCTTATTCCAATCAGAGAGGTTGCGTTGTCCAAGACTTCGAAAATGTCGGCTTGCAAACTTGTCTATCACATATAGCAACCTGACAGTATGTGTGATACAAACATATCTGGATTTATGGGATGTTATGATTTGCAATAAACTATATAGTACAAACGAAATATCCCCGTCGCTAAATTTTCCCAAAATTAATGAAGGACAACATTAACTTTTATTCTCTCCGTCCCGTAATATAAAGGATTTTGAAAGGATGTGACACATAGGGATGAAAACTGTCGGAAGCCTCAACCATTTCCGTAATCATATTTTTCTCGGAAACGAAATCGAAAACGGTGAAGTCGGAAAAGAAAACGATATCGGAAATATCGAAAAACCGGAAACGGAACAATACGGACGGAAACATGTCGGTACAGATCGGAAACCGATAACAAATACGGAAACATTAAACTATAAAAACATATATTAAACTTTACATAAGTATGTTATATGTATACATAAATTCAAGCTTATACTATATAAATTATAAATTAACTTCGTTTTAGCCATGTTAGAGATTTGATTGAAGAGTCAGTCAATGTGTAAGTTGTGGGACATGCCCTATAAATATCAACATATTTAGAATACGGTAATTACCATATTATAAGAAACGGTAATTTTCACAAGAATATGGTAAATACGGAAACGATAGGTATAACAACAAAACCATTTCTGTTTTTATTTCCATATTTTTTTACCATTTTCATTTTTGTTTCGGTCAATTACCATTTCCATATGGCTCGGCCGGTAGAAAGTCAAAAACGAACGCTGGTCGGCCGGGAATTACCGTTACCATTTTCACCCCTAGTGACACATGTACTACGAATTCAACTTCATACTCCCTCCGTTCCCTAATATAAGGGATTTTGACATTTTACTTGTACTGTTTGACCATTCGTCTTATTCAAAAAAATTGGAATTATTATTTATTTATTTGTGACTTACTTTATTATCCAAAGTACTTTAAGCATAACTTTTTGTTTTTTATATTTGCATAAATTTTTTAAATAGACGAGTGGTTAAATAGTGTAAGTAAAATGTCAGAATCTCTTATATTAGGGGATGGAAGGAGTAGTATTAAAATATATCACGTCCCTTCAAAATCCCTTATATTTTGAGACGTATGAGGTACATTTTCCAAATCCATAAACGATTAATTTATCGAATTTAATATGAACCACGTACATGACGACCCAAACACGAACATCAAGTAATCTTATAGCCGTCGTTGACCGGCTGGCACCGGTTACCGGCCGGTAAGCATGGAACAATGGAAGTGGCAAGTGGCTAGCTATCTACGTGGCCACATCGATGTCGCCCTTCACCTCCACCTCGCCGACGGCGGCGAGGCTGCCCCTCTCCTCCATGACGATGGCGACGCCGCCGCCCTTGGCGGCCGCCTCCTCCTCCTCGGCGAGCACAGCGTCGAGTATCCGGAGCATCTCGTCGGGCGCCACGAGCTGCGGGAAGTGGCCGGCCGAGTCGACGGTCACCAAGGCGGCGCGCCCGATGCGCCCCTCCATGTAGCGCCCGACGCACGGCGGCGCGGCGGGGTCGCCGGAGGCGTGCACGAGGGTGCACGGCGCGGCGACGCGGCCCAGCACGCCGCGGTTGTCGCCGAGGAAGATCATGCGCGCCAGCGCGTCCGCCACGCGCGGGTCCATGGCGAAGAAGGTCCGCGCCAGCGTCTCCGCGGCGGAGGGGTTGTCGGCGGCGGCGCCGACGATGAGCGGGACGAAGCCCTTGGCCCAGGAGAGGAAGTCCGACGAGATGGTGGCCAGCATCGCGTCGATCTCCGGCTCGTCGAAGCCGCCCTCGTAGTCATCCGAGTTGATGTACCTGCAAACAAAATTACCAAAGTTGAAAATTGTAATCCGGATGGTTCCTTGCGCGGAATTAAGATTGAAATTAAGAAAAACATCTAGATTAGAAGTCGTTAATTTCATCATTTTGATCTAATCTAAGCACGCAGCTGGTGATGGTCAACCACTAGCCTAATAATTATATAAGCATTTTAAGCCGGCATAGACTTCAGATAAGATAAAATGATAGCTTAATTCCATGGTTAATTTATTACAGTTACGAAACTAAATATTTGAAATTTCAGGGTCTACTGGTGGGTACTGTTAGCTAGAATATTCTACCGGTTGAATGTTTTAATATTTTTTTATAAAAAAATAGCATGAATTTGTTCAAATTTTAAAATTTTCAATTCCAAATTTTCGGAACTTCGATCACCCCTGGTAGGTTTCATGCATTCCAAATAGTAAACCTGGCTTAACTGAAACTCGAGATCTTCAGCTTAACTAGTTTTTGAAACTGTGTTCGGATGCCCCCTTTCTCAACCACTCTTTCTCGTTTTCCGCATACACGCTTTTCAAACTGCTAAACGGTGTTTTTTTTTTGCAAAAAGTTTCTATACAAAAGTTGTTTAAAAAAATCAAATTAATTTATTTTTTAAATAAAATAGCTAATACTTAATTAATCATACGCTAATGAATCGTTCTGTTTTCCGTGCGTTAAGAGATAGCGAACACAGGAGTGGTTCCTTTTGCCATGATCGAATTAATTAATTAATTAATTACCTTAGCAAGTTTGCAATGAATCGATCAAACAATTTAATTTAAACATACGCATGCTATCTATTGGCCTAGTATTAGTTTGCCAAGTTCTCACCTCGGGGAGGCGCCGACGAGCACGAGGTGGGTGAAGAGGCCGGGGCGGTTGATGGAGGCAATGCAGCCGATCATGCCGGCCATGGAATGCCCCACGTACACCGCCCCGCTCACCCCCATCTCCTCCATCAGCGCCACCAGCTCGTCCGCGAACCCCTCGAACGTGTACTCCTCCTCCTCCTCCGCCGCCGCCTTCTCGCCGTCGCCGCCGCCGCCGGAGAAGTCCCAGTCGAACAGGACGACCTGCACACACACACACGCACGGTGTTCCACTGTCATGCGATGCGACCATGTCTGTGGATCGATGCATGGACTGATCGATGTGTGTACCTTGTTCGTCTCGGCGAGATGAGGCAGCACCCTGTCCCAGATGGCCTGGCTGCCTCCATAGCCATGGGAGAGGACCAGTGTCCTCTCCCCACACCCAACCACTCTTGGATTCAGTGGCGGCATCTCTCACTAGCTTAGCTAGCCAAACAAGACCAGGGAGAGAGGTGGTGTACTGGTAGTATATTGCTAGTACCAATGCATCTAGTATTTATAGAGCCGCAAGTCCATATAGTTGTATGTCTCAGTTCACTCTCGCGTGCTTCGTCCTCAGATAAAATTTAAGCCGACATAGACCTCAGATAAAATGATAGCTTAAATCCATGGTATTTATGGATTTATATAAGACAATAGAATAATGATATTTTGATTGTTGCATGCATAAATACATGGTCACTAGTATGAGAGAAATTGAACATAAAGCAATATGATGTAACAGGTGATAAAAACACAAAATTTTAGTTCACAAATAACCTATATATTGCGGCTAGACCTACTACCATGCATTTTTGTTGAAAAGCTCCATGATCCTGATGTCTCTCTAAACATGTGATTAGTACTGTTTGGTAGGCTAATTTGTAGACAACTCTGAATTTGCTGCCAGCTAATCAAGCTAGACCAACCACGTCTGTAAACATATATATGCAGAGTACCTATTCTGTGAGAGCCAAATGTATATACATGTACTAGAGATTATCCAACGTTTTCTAGTTTAGCAATTCTATGCAAAGGAATTATAAGCTGACCAGATACATATAGATCTTTTGTTTTAATTAGAGGCTGAATTAATTTTCACTATAAAAAAATATCTCTCCCATACACGTTTTATGTGATACTCTCTCTCCATTGTCTCAAAATATAGCTACATTTTTAGCTAGTTCATACAGTTTAAATTTAAACTATAAAGATAGCTATATTTTGGGACGAAGAGTGTACATCATTATACCTATCAATGTGAATTTGATTATAACTGTGTGATGAGGAACTTAGTACTTACAATCTGTGGCTGGCAGCAGGAGAGCATGTGGATCACCAACGTTGCCTTCAACAGAGGACAACTCGAAGTGGACTCATGTATGGGTGTCCAAGAATAGTTCAATCTTCCAGTCAAATGATTGTCTTTATAACTTGTTAGTATAACTACTCCCTCCGGTTATATAATAATTGACGTTTTGAACAAGGATGAGGATAAACTTTTATAACTTTGACCAACTTTAAAAGTATTTAGTTTCAAGAAACTAGAACAACATATATAGATTTGTATTTCAAAGCACTATAATAAAAGTAAACATGCATTTATTTAATATATATATATATATATTCTAATAGAAAAATAAGGTCAAAGATATATTTTGTAGACCGTGCCATTGTCCAAAACGTCAATTAAAATGAGACCGGAGGAAGTACAAGTTTGCATTCAACGGATGTCATCATGTCTAGTTGCATTTAACACAAAAAGGTATCTACAAGGAAATAGCCAAAATGTGTGGTGTGGAGTGGTCTACTTTTTTTCTTATGGAAAAAAAATATAAATTAGACCTAATTATTTTTTTGACTTAAGTTAGACCTAATTATTAATATATTAGGAATAATTTCCACAAATAATTAATGAGGAGGATCATTCTAGACCACGGTACATGACTCAACCAAACAAGCAAGAACAAACCACCTTTCCCGTCGACACGGCACACGTCCTCTTCAACAAATAGTATCAACAGATATATACAGCGGGTATAAACACGTGTCATTTTGAGCATGTTTTAAGTCAAACTTTATAATTCAGCTTTTAACATCAGTATCTTTTTCAATATTTAATTAGATTTGATGTAGGAAAAAAATATGTGTAGATATTTGCTCCAAGAAGAACTTCCAAAATAGTGGCGGAGCCAAGAATTTAACCCAGTGGGATTAATTACTACTAGTTTATATTTCAGTGGGGCAATTTCTCTAATTTTTCTGAACTTATACATAAAAATCAAGATCTATAGGGGTGTTTTTTAAAAAGTTGTGGGTCAAAACACATCATACATGCTAATCTTTGTATGGATTATCTCCGATACAATGTGCAACTAGAACAACGAAGTAGAAAGAACGTATAGAGAGAGAGAGAGACAACGATGCCATTTCAATGCGATATATTGCATTTTCATGAAACTAACATTTATATATTGACATGCACATATAAATGATGATTTGCATGTATTTGAATGAACCCCACTATGGTCGTAAAGAACAATAGAGCTTTGTGGATATATGTGTCGCGCTCTGCTAGCTGGCTACTAGCTAGGAGGATCATGGAAAAGTGGTAGTTTGTCGTTTGGCAGGGAAGGTGTGAACTGCGTGGATTCCAAATTTGCAATGTCGATATGCATGCACTAATAATTAGAAAACAACAAACTTGGCACATGCAGCGCTATCATTGATCTCCACTGGTGCTTACTCTAACATTGTCTTAATTAGACAAAAAAACTCTGCATAATTGTAGATATCAAGCTATATATATTATCTTACTTTGCTAGTCAAACCTAGGGATAGGCCGGATATGTTTCATTTTTGCATTATCTGATGTGATTGTACGTGTTGTTGAAGCGTGGCGCATATGTGTGCACCTCCGCGATCGCTCTGTCACTCGTATTTCTTAAATGTTCTTATAAGAAGGTACTGAATCCCTTGATCTTGTATTAATGTTTTATACGTTTTGGTACCTTCCCGTGAGCTGAAGTATCGATGTATCACGTTATAATTATATATCTTACTGTAAAAAGTACTCCCTCCGTTTCACAATGTAAGTTATTCTAGTATTTCTCACATTCATATTGATATTAATGAATCTAGATTAATATAAACATGTACATATATAGGAGTTTTTTTTAGTGCTACATACATTTTTTTATTTCATCTATTCTATCAGCTGATGTTTTTGCCAAAATTGTCTTTGTCCAACGCGCGATTAGTTGATTAAATCAAAATCTGTGACCCCTCTTTTCTTCCATGGCAGGTCAGATTCCGATAAGAACGCAGCCACATAATATAATGATGTGTGCACCTCATGATCTCAAGGGGCAAGATATGCACAAAGATTTTCTAACGATATCTTATTGGTAGCGATGCATGCCTGCATAGTCTAATTTGGAGCCAAAAAGGTCATCCATGGATGGCACCGTGTACCTAAGATACAACAAAGAGATGACGTTCACAAGTTGTACAACTGATAGGAGTAGTAGTAGACTGGTCAGAGAGGAGGAGCTGGGCAAGCTAGGCAAGGCCAGTCACATCTTCATCACGTGGACAGCTTGTTCATGTTCGATCAGTCCAGCATAAGCGTCCAAAGCTTAACTTTTCGGGCAATTAAATTAGTAGTCGGCATCAACGTGCGTCATACCATAGTCATATGTTAGGTAACTACTCTCTCGGTTCTTGACCTAGAAATGTAGCTACATCTTAGAATGGACGAGACATATATTGAATTGAATCGTGAGGATGCTAAAAATAATTCGGAGTAGCTAGCTAGCTAGATCGAACTTCTGTTTGTGTTTGTAACTACTTCGTTTTAGCATGTCATTATAGGTCGAAGTGTCGAACAAAAGAAAAGTTTATCTCTATAACATGTAGACCACAGGTGTATGGCATACTACCAAACATTATTGAGCTAATAAGCTGATCAAATCATTGATCTGACACGAAATCGTAGCACAACGTGGCTACCAAACATATATACTATCCCCTTTGTCCCAATAAATTTATTTTTGGTTCCTTTCCATTTATCTCAAAGCAAGTTTATTTTTAGAAACTATTATATTAGAGTTTATAAAAATAGAGAATAATTATATATTGGGAGTAAATAAAATAAGAAATAATTGTACTGTGATTTAAAGTAAAGATATTTTATCCTCTTCATTTAAATTTGTACTAATATATAGGTATAAGATAGGTCAATATTAAACTTATTTTGAGACGAAGGAACACACCCTTTATAGGCGACCACGACGCACAACTACACCACAAGCAGCTGATAGCCCACCCAGCCATATCAGGCCGACCGCCGCGCCGCCTGTCGCGTCAAGCTTATAGCTACGCGACGCCGCCGTTGCTGCTGCATTCTCTCTTCTCAGTCTTCTCTCCACTCCCTCCGCGCCGCCCCTCGCCCCCTCCTCCCTCGCAGTCGCAGCCTCGCGTACGTACCGTTGCTGTGTTTGCACGTACGGCGATGCGCGCCGTTGGCGCCTTGCTTGCTGCTGCATCTTGCCTGCCGGCCCCGCGCGCGCCCACCTGCCCCACCACCTGCTGCATGCTGCGTCTACCGCGCGCCACGGTGACGCACCGGCTTGCGCAACAACGCTCCTCGCGATGCGTACGCACAAGTGATGTGGCTGCCGCGTACGTGCGTGCAGCGTGCGCTCTGCTGCTTTCAGACGACGAGTCGATCGATCGATCAGCAGCGTACGGCACGCGCGCCGGCGCACGCAATCCTCAACAGGGCCGGCAAGCGGATTGCAAGTTGTCAGATTTTGGGATAACTGCAGCCACAAAAGATTTATAACGGGATTGGAGATTTTGAGCACACATTTGATACTCCGTATCATCTTTGTGTGCAGGTGCAGGTGCAGTCGGCAGTCGCATCGATCAGTTGCTTAAGAGTCATAAATTAAACGTCGGGCCGGGCAGGAGGATTACTTGCACATTTTTAGCTCGATGTGAGGATCCAGCCAAGGAAAAGGACATGGTGTAGACGTGCACGTGCAAAGAATCGAGGGACATTTATTCGGCGGCGATCACGCGACGAAATTAGACGTCAATTGGACAAGATATATCTTTCTCCTTCGAGATTTTCGATCTGCTTAATTGACCAACGCACTCGCTATTCATCGTGTGACTGAAATTAGAAGAAGTTTCAGTCATATTTTTCTTTGATAATATTTGACGGTCAGGACATTGTCTTCAACCTCTAAATTAATTGGGAGAGGAAGGAAGAGAGAAAGGGTGGACTGACCCATGGTGGTGATAGTGATAGTGAGCCTTGATGCCACATGTAACTTAAATTACGGTAGATAATCTATAGATTAGTATAGGGGGTCGTCGGCAGGGAAGGGGTAAAGAGACAATATGGAAGCGTTTTTAGAAAGATGACCCAAGGTTTTGCAGAGATGGGTAGGCGGCGAGGCGTCAGAGTCGTGAGGATGAAGGAGGGCCTAGGGGAGGGGGATCCAACAGTTCAAGCCGCCAGAGATAAGGAAGAAGAGGCAACACGAGATATCGACACTGGATTTGAGGAAGAAAAGGATGGTGGTAGCATGAATCCAACCAATATACGTATAAAGAAAGAGGGTGGTGAGAAGCGGTAGGGAAGTAGTAGTTGACGTGATATGAAGAGTCCATAGTGGTGGCAGCTAAATTGGGAGAGGAGAGTGAAGAGAGAGGTGTGAGCAGTGTCGGAGGTATGATGCTTACAATGGCTATAAAATTACTCAAGAATATCATTATTACTGTAGAAGGTAAAGTTTTGTGTCGAAGAAATATGACATAATAGTTGATCAAATATGCTTTAAGTATAGCACTAGATTAAAACTGAGCTTTTTGTTGGAAAAACAATTAGAGCATCACCAAGAGACTCTCAAAATCAATGTCGTAATTCCAAATTTTTGATGTTTTTTTTCTTAAAGAACCAAATCCTACAATGCCCACAAAATAAAAAAAAACCAAAAAAAAATGAAATCCCATCTTCGAAAATCTCGCTCTCCACAAGTATGGCACTATGCTCGTCCCCAATCTGCAAGGTCGCACGTGATCGTGTGGAGAGGCAGGTGACCGATCACCCGAATGGGCAAGCAAGAGCAATCACGCGGAGGGAGAAGCAAATGATTTTTGTTGGTAGTTTTACAGGGTTATCCACTTTTTTGAAGACTCAAATTTAGAGTAACTCTTAAAAAGAAAAATATTTCCATACCTTCAATACTAATTACAGAGTCTCAACAAAACATTTAGGGGATTAAATTTGAGATAGCTCTTGGTGGCGCTCTTATTTAGACCGAACTACAACAAATACCTAAAGTGATTCCGGCGGTTGAAAAATCCACTGAACAGCTGACCCCGTTGATTAATCAGTCCCTCTATGTTCTTTTCCACCACTCGCTGCATTTCGTCCAATGCAGACAATCCACATTCAAACAGCAGGCGACCGCAGCGCGATTGAGAGGGGGAAAAAAACTGATGCGTTGCACAGCGGCTCAGCCCAACTCGAACATCTGGTTCACAGAGTCAAAAACGGTTTTGATCTGTACCTGGTCGTGTCTGAGGCAACATATATATTCGGCGCCCCGAGTCTTTCGGACTGAAACGACGATACATGGACATGGGTAACAACTACCAACACAACTAGTGGGTACCAATTATACCAACTATATAGAAGGTATAGATACAAGAGCTACAGTACGCATTGTTCTGTTCCACTTTGTTTGCGTGGGGCGACTGGCTGAACAATTCAGCATTTCAGCCTTATACACGAATAATTACAGACAGGTGCGAAGAAACAGAGAACACTGAAAGCCTGAAGCCTAAGCCGCTTCATGATGCCATATCAAGGAATAGACACCAGGACCTGAAAAAGGGAAAAAAAACGATGAGATTCTTCGTTAATCCATTTAACAGAAGCACACCTCAAGTTGCTGTCAGCTAAATTGGTAATTAATCAGCTTGTTTCGACAGATTTCCAAGAAATTGATCCATTGGAACGTATCCTTCAATTCATATGGCTATCACTGTTTGACTCGTGTGCTCCCACAATTGCTTCACATCACTGAGCCCTGGTCCATAGCCAATGTTTCTTTCAGTGTGTATGTATAGTATAGACACAGCGTGAGCTTCCTTGACTTCAAAAGGGTGAAACCCAAATGTATCTTTCGTTGTGACCTTGTGGGTTTTTCTCTTAAATAACATCCACACAATATCCTGTCAAAGTTAAAACAGGTTTCCCCTATTGAAAAGTAAGTTTAATACCATCCACACAACGTCCTGTCAAAGTTAGAACATGTTACCTCTATTGCAAAGTAGGTTAATTGAATGTTAACTTGGAAAAAAGAGAAGACATGTTGCATACGTTGCTTACGCACGAAAGCAGATAATCGGACATCAATAGGAGCTACACAAAATTGTGACACTACTTTATCCAAGAAAAAAACAATACAATAGCATTGATCTATATCCTTATGATAACAAGGAAATCACATGAACTCTACTGAAATACACTGTTAAAGCAAGCAATTCAAACAAGTCAAAAAGAACATACATAATCAGCACCCTGCAAACCAAATCTGATTTGGTCTAACCCCAAACCTAGAAATTATATACTATTGTTGTAGACTGTTGTTTCTTTTCACTAAAATTCATACTAAGTCAAATAAAGCGGTAGTAGTAGAAGGATGATAAGTGGAACTAGTGAACGAGTTTGATGTCCACAGGACCTGTGGCCACCAGGCATGCTCGTTCTATAGCAATCAAAGTTGATCGTCAGCAATTAAATCTCACACATAGTGATCCTTGCCCATCACCTAACATGAACTTCCCCAATAATAGTGATTCATCTACATCATCTTGATCTGACTCCTGAGACTCCCAGGCATACCAACAACAGCTACTCTGTAGCACACAAACTTACTCTTTATCTAGTTGAAATCCAAAGCAAGCCCCTTCAAGGCATCACCACACTACTCTACTGCACTTGCCACTTTTATTTCCAAGATGCACCTGCTAGAGCAATCATCCTCTACTACCCAAATAACAATCGTGTCTGTCAGTCACTAATCAATTCATAAACTAAAGAACACTGACCTTACTTCATATGCAAACTACATGCTGTCATCAGTTGCAATATCAGCATGCTCGTCAGTGTCACTACTCCACGATATGTCCACCAGACCAAGCTGTTGTCAGAGTAGAAAGCCCACAGAAGACCAGAGGAAAGGGTTTTGAACGTCAATCAGCTCACTGTACAATGTTTTCTGACTTCAAGCAGTGGCGGACGCAAGTTTAAAATACAGATGGGGCGGCAGAGCTAGCCCTAATTAGGTGATGGTACAACACATACAAACCATAGTCGCTGGTTCACGGCATTGGCGCAACAGCGCACGGCACGAACATCGAGAAAGTTAACAACGAAGATTGGTAGTCGAACAAACGTATATAACTTATATGTAGAGAGATAAAAAAAAAAGAGAAATGTTGTTAGACAATAAGGGGAACCACTTTCAATAGCTCGGGGGGTATAAAACGAGATGAAAAATTATTTAGGGGTTTAAGTGCTTCGCTAAAATAGTTCAAGTGAGTAAAATGGATTTTTTTATATATTTACCAATTTAACTATTTACTGTAGACTGTATTATACGCTAAAGAAATAGAAAGAAAATCGAATTTTATGTATGGTCAAAATGGTACTACTTATACACGAATTTTCATAAGTGTTTTTTTCCTATTATTCAATAGTAGACTAATGACTAATGTGTTAGAAATAGGACTAAAATAAGGTTTTGGGGTGTGGGGCGACACGGACTGTAGCTAGGCCGGCCGACCCACCCTGCCCAATGGGTGTGTCCGCCACTGACTTCAAGTAGGATGGAACGAATCTACTCAGGACAAAACACAAGCCTTTATCTCCATAGCATTTTGAACCTGTTCTTGGTCCTTTTGGTGATATAGCTTGTACAATTTCAAGGTCTTGAAAGCACTAAGTTTTTCTGTTTCCGATAATATAAGTGTTATTTTTAGAGAATAGGCCAGAGGCCCAGCTTTTTATAGAAAGCTATTAAGGTTTCGCTGGGGTGAGACCAGCTTACAGGGCAGTTCAGAAAGGAAAAAGGGCACAACCCGGCCAGACATAGGTTTTCAACCTCCAGTAGCAGAACTCAAACTACACAGGTCCAACTCTAAACAACAGAAAAAGCTACAAGGCGAACAAACAAGCTATGGAATACCACACCTATCCAACACCAGTTCTGGAGGGTCTAAAGGCAGCTACACCAGTATAATATAAGTGTGCCTCTGGAACTATATTTATACCGCCTTTTCTCATAAGGTACATTGAAAACTGGAGGTCAAATTCAGTATCCAATTTGTGGGTAAATGTACCCCAAGGCCCCACCTTGAATATTTTCATACTTGGCATGCCAATCAAGTATATTCATCTACTTATCAAAGTTAGTACTGCACAAAATCTATCCACAATCATCGAGGGACATTTTGAGGATAACAATCACTTGGAAATCCCTCAGTGATGTGAAATTATGAATACACAGAGTCTGCATATCAGACAGATTCTATATCATAATTATGCAGCTGACAGTTGATGTACAACACTGCGTCACAATGGTTTCAATTATCAGTGTTGAAAGATTCAGTTGGACTATAAACTACAAGCTCCATAAAGATGATTTGCAGAAACTGGAACTAATTTACAATCAAGTTTGGCAGCTGAAATTGTAATAAAGAGAGCCTATATTGTATTTCAAACGAGTAACCTCGTACTGGAGTAGTAATATTCTGTTTGTATTCCGTTATAACTTTAAGTTCTCCTAAGTCCAAACGGTAGGGACCATTACAGCATAAAAACAACAGAGGTCTTGGAACTATTCATTTCCAGGCAAGACAATATTAAAACTTCACTCTTCAAGTAATTGGAATCAGCACTTCATATTCTTCAATTAAGTGGAGAGATTATCATCAATCCCATTTGTCTTTTAAACAAATTCTCCCGAACAACAAAGAACATGAAACAATTCAAAGCTATTATACTAAACAAAACAATAACATAGTGATCGTGTCCTAAGATTACATCGCCTACCAAGCCAAGCCATGAGACAGCGACAAAAAAAATTGAAATAAAAAAGGAAGCAAAGTGGTAGATTGCTAGTACCTTTACCTTTGTACTAAGAGTCGGCTTTGGCGGGGCACTCGAGGCTGGCGTTGAAGTGGCGGGCGGGGAACTTGGCGGAGACGGAGCCGACCTCGAAGACGAGCTCGTCGCCGTCGGCGCGGATCCCGGTGATGGACCACCACCGGAAGAAGGCCCTGACGCGGATGCCGCTGAGGCCGGAGATGCGGCGGTCGTCGAGCCGGCCCGTGAGGCGGTCGCTGAAGGAGGCGAGGTAGCTCCCCGCGGGGAGCACGATCCGGCAGCTGGAGGCGAGGTCCACGGCGAAGTCCCCCGACCCGGAGTCCAGCGTGTACCCGCGCACGTTCGCCGGCAGCAAGCCCAGCGGGAACCCGCGGTGCCGGAGCTCGTCGTACGCGGTGACGTCGCCGTCGCCGCCGGCGTCGGAGCGGACGACCGGGAGGGCCGCCGACGCGAGGAGGAAGAGCGCGGCGGCGGCGGCGAGGAGCGCCGCGGTTTGGGCAGTGGGTGTCGCCATCGCTGGCTCGCCGCTGCTTGGTTGGGGAGTTGGGATGGATGGGCGCACGCGGAGAAGGAGGGGGTGACGTGGAGAGGTGGAAGAGTGTAGAGCACCATGACAGTTAGGAGAGAGTTAGGCCAGTCACAATGGCTAGTGTCATTGCACGGCTACCCAAAATATTATACCATCTTCTCTCAAATGAAATCTTTTATGAAACAATCCCCACAGTGGAGGGGTTTCACTTTGACGTTTCCAAGACTAAGCAAAGCATTTAATTGATACAAGTTGCTGGGATCATTTGTACCCAAAATCCGGCGCGGCGCGGGAGAATGCGGAGGTCGCACGGCGGAGGCGGACGCAAGAGATCCGGTGAATGAAACGAATCGGCCTCAACGGGGGTTTCACTCTGTTACCGAGGACTTGGAAACGACGCTGACGAGTTTCACCAGGATGAAACTCTTTCCTTCTCTCTCATCCCCATTTCATGCAAATAATCATTTTTTATTCAGTCTTACCCCTATTAAATGTGCATGACACACCAGTGAAACCCCCATTGTGACTGGCCTTATAGCGTGTGCGGCGAAAAGTCAAAGATTTTTTTCCTTTAAATAATCGTTTGCAACGGTGGCAGTTGGCAGTTTTGGCACTGAGCAAAGTAGGCCCGGCTCGGCCCGACCTAATTAGGCCCAAAAGGTAAGGACCAGCCAGAGTTTTTTTTTTTAACTTGTGCATCGATGTGTTTCATACTTTCATGTCAGAGTTGTTCAAGTAGGAAAATGTTGTGCTAGTAGATGTACACGAGAATATGACCCGATCGAAAACAAGTGAAATTGCAACAGCCCAAAGAATCCAAAAGGCTTTTTCTGAAGACAAAAACTTCTGAATTCAGAGAGTGCAGACTGCAGACAAGACAGCAGAGGCACCAGCTATGCCCAAAAAGAAATGGGTGGCTCGAATAAAACTTTTAAGTTCCTATTACATCGAATGTTTGGACATTAATTATAAATATTAAACGTAGACTATTAATAAAACCCATCCATAATCTTAGACTAATTCGCGAGACGAATCTATTGAGCCTAATTAATACATGATTAGTCTATATGATGCTACAGTAAGTATTCTCTAATTATGGATTAATTAGGCTTAAAAAATTATCTCGCAAATTAGCTTTCATTTATGTAATTAGTTTTGTAAGTAGTCTATATTTAATACTCTAAATTAGTGTCTAAATTCCCTGGATCCAAACACCACCTCAAGCTTAAGAGTTCTGAACGATAGAAAACCCATTCAAACAATGATTCCCAGAAGCTACCATGTTTATGGCAAACAACCATGTAGCTGAAAGTTTTCTACTGTCTATTTTCATAGTTTGCAATCAGTTCTCCCTAGCCCATTTTGTGATCAACTAATCCCAGGTAACAGTCAGAAGCTTAACTACTATTTCCTGGCACATATTTGATATTTCAGCTTTTGGCCAACAGAAAAAACAAGATGTGAAACTAAAAGGATTCCTAGAACCTCTGTGTGTGCATAAAACAGTAAATATCTAATCTGAATTAGTTGCCAATAAAACAACTACTCAATACTAATTCATACATAAACAATATGATAGCAATAATCTAATGTCAGTTTCGTAACGAACACTTCTTTTGAGAATGTCCAAGAAGATGACATCGGCCACATTGAACGATTCGTTTTGGCCGTTTCAAGCTTTCTATCTTAAGAATCTTCATTTTGGGACGACCAGGAGGCCTCCGGATCTTGGGCGGGCGAAGAACCGCATATGCTTTGCTTCCTGCACCTTGTGCAAAAGAAAACGGGAGGTTCCATTGGCTTCTATCTGGAATTGAATAGATTGGCTGGGAGTAAGTTTCCCGATACTTCATTATGCTGAAGCATTCATGTGCATACAAGCGAGGATCTTCACCACAGGAAAGTAGTGCAGCAACAGCATGTGCACATGGAATGCCATATATTTGCCACCGACGACAAGAGCAGCACCTGGCTTGCGTATCCACAATGTTTGTTCGCTCAGATGAGACTATTTCAAACTCCACCTTGTTTGCTCGAAGGACTTGATAGCATCCTGAATCAGCGATAGCTTCAGAAATAAGTTTCTCGGCTGATGGAACAAGAATTGAGTTGTATGATAGCGCCAAGTTTTGCCGTTCAACAAACCAGCAGGTCAGTTGGTGTTTGATATGCTCCACAGTTTGCACTATAGGAAACTCATGACACTCCATGGCCCAGTTATATAATATCTCAGTTATCCCAAGATTAAAATGGCCATATCGGATACCCTCAAAGTAAGAAACTGCCCAGAGATTTGGTGGGAAACGTTGGAACCATGGCATGACATCTTGAACTTGGACCATATCATTTACCTTTGAATCAAATTCTGCTGCTGTTAGAGCATAAACAGCACTCCAGAAAATGTTCAGAAGTTTAGGATTTTTGAACTCGTCACGGAAATTCTCACTCACATATCTCAAGCAAAATCCATGAAAAGCAGTGGGGAAGTTTACTTCAACAGCTTCAACCACTTGTGATTGCCTTTCAGATAGTATCGTCAAGACAGGCATCTTATCCGTGTTAACTCCAAGCATCTTCCTCAGTTCTGAAAAAAACCACATCCAGTTTTCATCACTTTCAGCGTCAACAATACCAAATGCTAGCGGGAACATCATGTTTTCAGCATCAACAGCTGACGCACATAGCAATGTCCCAAGATACTTTCCCTTGAGGTCTGCCTTGTCAATTTCCAAAAGGGGTCTACATGCATTTAAGAAACCATGAATAGATGCATGGAACGACACGAACAGCCGCTGGAAGCTATTATCTGGTCCAGTCCCTTTGTATATTGCAACACTGCCAGGATTTGTCTGTACAATCTGCTCACAGTAGGCAGGAAGAAAGCGATATCCATCCTCAAGGGTGCCATGAACAGCAGCCATGCTTCTCTCCTTCCCACGCCATGCCTGCATATAAGAAACTGCTACTCCATGCTGCTCTCGGATATCCTGCAATATCTCTTTTGGCTTATACTGTGGGTTATCTCTTAGCGTTGCCTCAACGGACCTAGCAACCCAACCAACGGTAGCCTGGTGATGATGCAAGTCACGCACACCGTCGCACGTGTGCTCCCCGTGCAATGTGCGTACAGTGAAAGTCGGGACACCATGGCACTTTGCCACATGCACACGCCACGGGCAGCCTTCCCTCGCGCACTTGGCGATGAACCGGCTCCGGTCAGATTTCACGACACGGAGCTCGAAATGCATAGCAATGGCCATGTCCTTGACGGCCCTCCGGCACGCGTGGACATCGACAAACTCTTGCCCGATGACAAGGCCTTGCTCTACAAGATTCTGCTCTAACTCATGCGTGGGATCTACAAGACTCTGCTCTAGCTCCGCCGCCAGGTCTGGTTCAACTAAAATCTGATCGTCTTCCATCAATCATCCACAAGATTACAAAATCACTTATCGCGCCACATAGAAAGTTTGCTCGCAATTCGACCGCTGCACAAGATTAACACAAAACACCTAGTCATTCAATCGAAAAGAAAAAATGGCAATTCAAAAGAGGTACAGCCAAGTTCAAACCAAATTAGGGCAGGTGAGTTCGGTTGAAAGTTGAAGCCTACTCCCTCCATTTCATGATGTAAGTCATTCTAGCATTTCCTACATTCATGTTGATGTTAATGAATCTAAACATATATATCCATCTAGATTCATTAACATCAATATAAATGTGGAAAATGTTACAAATGACTTATGTTGTGAAACGGAGAAAGTACTTTATTTACTTCCTATTTTTTCTTCGGAGGAAAAAATAAACTATTCAGTGGCGGATAGCGTGGAGCATGAGGTTGAGCTGAACCAAAAGTGCTACAAAGAGTCCACCACGCATCCATGAAATCCGCATGAAACTTAACGATTGAAATGGGATGAAACTTAACGATTGAAATGGAGGAAAGAAATCAATCAAGTCCCCGTGGATCTCCAACCTACTGAAGTGGCGTGGACGAGGAGCGAGTAGGGATAGTAGGAGAGAGAGATGAATACCTTCAACTCGATTCAAGTTGGAGGCGGGGGACGGAAGCCCCGCTTCCGCCGCCGCTCCAAACCCGCCCGCAGGGGCGTGCGCGCGAGGGGAGCGGCGGAGGGGGGAGGAGGCCGCCTTCCGCGTGTCTCCGGGACTAGCAGGCGGCGGCGCGCGGGAGGCGGCGGAGGCGGGGGCGGCGAGGAGAAGAAGAACGGCGGCGGTCCGGCTGGGCAGATCGGAAAGACGGGTGGAGGGGGTGGGGGGCATTTTGGTCATTCGATGTTTTTCAGCCTTTTTTTTCGAAATTAAAATTCGGGACACCGTTCAAGTCGAAAGTAGCGATGTGGTTTTTTTTTTACAATTTTTATTTACATTTTTTTAGCATACACATATATCAATGCAATCTATTTTTTAAAAAATAAAATGACCAAAATGCTACTAGTTAGGTGGGACAAGTATTAGAAGTTTCTAAATGCATATGTCAACTAAATTTCATCTAGTCCCACAAAGATAAAATGGAATTATGTGGGTTTTTTTTTTACAATTTTTATTTGACATTTTTTTAGCATACACATATACAAATGCAATCAGTTTTTCTAAATAAAATGATCAAAAATGCCCCTAGTTAGGTGGGACAAAGTATTAGAAGTTTCTAAATGCATGTCATTTCATCTAGTCCCATAAGGATAAAATGGAAAATAGAATATCACACATTAGGTACTTCTTCCATTTCATATTATAAGACTTTCTAGCATTGTCCATATTCATATATATATATATATATACCATTTCATATTATAAGACTTTCTAGCATTGTCCATATTCATATATATATATATATATATATGGGGTAATGTTAGAAAGTCTTATAATATGAAATGGAGGGAGTAGATCGTAGTGACAAATAGATGACAACAAAATTATTACTTATTGCACATTAAATTATCTAGGCTCTTTATTTTCATTCAATAAAAAATACTACATGACCAATGAGATCAAGTCCTATATGTAATCACTATAATTAACCATAGTACAGAATATACTGTGTTGTAACCATGAATCCCTACGGTTTATGGCAAACATATATTTCTACTCACAAGTCACAAATGTTCTCCAGTTGCTTACTTGCTTGCGATCTGAATCCATTTAAGAATCCCATTTGAAACAAGCAGATTCAAAACACTACATTTAGTCAAAATATATTTATGTTTGACTTTTTTATTAAGCTCCAATTTTTCACTGTCTACTATTTTAAAAATTATGATTTATTTTCAGAAGTATTTGTATAAGCTAAACATACTCTGCTAAAGAAAAAAGAATTAAGTGAGATCAAACGAAACCATGCGAGCACAACTCTCGGGACATTTTACTACTCTCTACTTAACATAATGAAAATGTTATGTTAAGTTATTGAGTCTGTGCTAATGTATTACTCCATCTATTTTTTAATATATTATGTCTTTTGGCACGACGTTTCAATATTCTCCTTATTCAAAAAATGTAGATAAGTATCATTTTTTTACTTGTTTTATCACTTAAGAAACTTTAAGCATGACTTGTATCCTTTACATTTATATAAAAAAAAGTTGGGTGAATAGCTCATTTAGTCCTTCAAGTTTCACCGAAGGCTCAATTTGGTCCTTCACGTTTCATTTTGTCCACATAACTCCTCTAAATATTTGTTTTGGCTTGACATCATCTTTGGGCCCACTTAATATGCCATATGGCTATTTTTAGTCAATATTTCTATTAGAAAATGTCCCTTTTGCCCTTAATTTATATACAACTATATATAAAAAGGAGAAAACCAAGATGAATAAATAACATTGTAGATATACTTCCCATTATTTCAACATGTGCACATGAAACTTAAGCAATTTCTATCGTATACACTTGCTAGTACATAATTTATTTTCGTTTTACATAATTTACTATACATTATCTATAAAAAAAATCAAGCATACATTTTTTCTCTTATATATGTGAATGATGGGGGTATAAGTGTCATTTATCAAGAGAGTTGTTAGTTCAAGGATAAGTTTGAACTAAAATGAAAACTTGAAGGACCAATATGAATAGATTGAAACATCAAGGACTAAACTGAGTCTCAGGTGAAACTTGGAGGACCACTTTGGCTATTCACCCAAAAAAGTTTATGGTGTTGTCTTACAAAATAGAGACAGTATATCATTGGTTATCGGTATAATCCACGGTTGAGCTTAGTGCTATCTTCATAATTATCCATATCATCTAGAAACTACAAGGCATGTCCGGCTGTCTGTTCTATGGCTGCAGCACAGCCGGCACCAACAGTGCTGCACACACACGGCGCCCAACAGGGTAGCACGCACACGGCGCAGCCGTAGCTGCCGCAGCCAGCTTGCCGAACAGGCCCACTAAAGAACTCGTGTTTTTCTATGATTGCCTGTAGTGTTGTATCTACAGTAGATGATATTGGCATACAGTCATCCATTGCTGCTAAGGGGCAGTGCTACAGAGGATCCTTGTCCCTTTTAGGGCATCTGCAACCAAAGCCACACCTAGAGTGCCCTCACTAACTAAGGACACTCTCAGGGGCACTCATCTTCCAATGGAGGATACACCTAAGTAGAATCTTCAAAATCTGAAGCAACTGGATAAAGGTACTCTAGCCCACAGTGGGTGTCCCAACACAAAAGTCCACACTAGGTATTTTCCCATACTACCACTCTCTTCTCTTTTTCTTCGTGCCTATTCTTCTTCGTCGCCCCTCTTCTCCTCCTTTTCTTCGCCTCGTAGCCTGTCCTTCCCGCCTCGGCGCCGTTGCCGTCCTTCCCACCTCGGTGCCATTGTCGTCCTCCCTCTCCCTATCTCCCCCGCCACCGTCGCTCGCCTCACTCTCCCTCCTCTCTCTCTCTCTCTCTCTCTCTCACCGCTCACCTCACTCTCACTCCCCCTCACTCTCTCTCTCTCTCTCTCTCTCTCTCTCCCGTCGCCGACGGCTACGAAGGTGATGAGGGCCGTCGCCGCAGCGTCGGCGAGCGGACAACGGTGAGCAGCGCGCGGATCTGTTCGTCGGCAAGCGGCGCGCGGATCTATTCGTCGCGCCGCGGATCCGTCGACCTCGCCGTCGAAGCTCCTCTTCGCCACCTCTCTCCTAGATCTGGCATGACGGCGCTGCCTACTCCGGTTCTGCCCCATCGCACTCGTCGTTGACTCCGCCTCACCGCATCGAGGTGAGGGGCAAGAAGGGGAAACAAAGGGGGAGGAGGTAGGGGACAGGGCACCGGGTCGCTGCAATGTGTAACCTCGAGGGAGTGGCTCCGGAAAAAGGGAGCTGAAGAGTCAGAGGCGTGCGTTCCCCTCGTGGGGGTCGCACCTCCCTCTAGGGACACGCCTCGCGGACGGAGGGCAGACAGCGTGAAGCGGGGGCACGCATTGTACGTGGCCTTATAAGTCTTTGGTTACAGAGAACATGTAAGCAGATATGGTTGTGTATTGTGTATTGGTGGACGTTGTCGTTTGTTGTTTGCATTTTGCGCCCCAACCATCTCTTCGTGAAAAGACAATTCCTTCCTCTCCCTTTCCTTCTCTCATCTAAGTCAGCAAAATAATCATTTTAACAGGACTTTACTTCCTAGTAGTATTGAGTTATATGTCCAAACAATAGCTCGTATACTCGTTTATCTTAAGATTTTCATTCTGAACATTTTTCTGCCTTTGAATTGAAGAGTCGTGAGAAACGCCAAGGGTCTTCCGACTAACTCCACGAGATGATGGGCTAGACGATCTGGGTTCGAAACCTTACCTCTTCTAATTATTTTGTATTAGGTCATTTCCTAATATTTGCATCTTTTTTAATTGAAGAATCGTTTCTCTTAAAGATTACAATCGTGATCGGAATTCGTCCGATAAACATGTACTATGTATGACACGTTGACAAAACAAAAGTACTAGCCACTAGGCAGCCGCCAAAATCTGTGCAGACTTCATCACCTTGCAGATGCTCTCCAGGACTTCCATGGGGCTGACATTGCCGACCACGGTCACCTTCTTGTTCTCCAGCTCCACCTTGAAGGACACCACTCCTGATCATGTCAATCGAGTAGAGAGATCACTATATCAGAGTATCAGCTTTCAGTAAGATCGATGAACATAGTGTTTACCAGTCACATTCATTCATGTACCTTCCATCTTCAAAATTTGCTTCTCAACCTTCCTCGCGCAGCAATGGCAGTGCATAGACACCTTCAGTGCTACTGTCTGCAGTGCACCGCAGCAGCACATGCAGAAAAACACAGCATTAAGTTACTGACAGAGAAATTAGAGAGGATAAAATCTAAAGGCAAGAAATGCTTTCGATTTCAGAAACAACTATATGCATTTTTTTTTTCTGAAATGATGATTTCATAAACAAGGTAGTACGCACCTTTGGTTCTTTCACAGCTGATGATGATGCGTTCGGTTCGTCTTCAAGATCAGTGACCGGCACAACCTGTTCCAAGTGGCTCCTCAGCAGGCCGCGCCTCTCGCTGCTTCCCTCGTCTTCCTCCAGGTGATGATGATCTTCATTGGAATGCGGAAACCAACGGAAAGCCTTCTTCAGACCTCTTGCAGCCATACGGAAGCCCTCTGATTAGACACCAATTAACCAGCTTGATCACTCTTCAAATATTAGCTTATATAGAGAATTGACAGAAGTCACAAGGTAGAGGCATTTATATGAGTTGTTGATCTGCATTCATGAGACAGCCAATGGCAGTCCTGCAGTACTATTAACATTGTAGCTTAACCAAGACAAATATGCCTGAAGGAAGATCCTGTGAGATCAACAAACAAGGAATCCATAACCATAAGTCCTTACAACCTCACTGGTAGTCTGGTAGATCTATCCGTCCAACCACTCACCAGTTGATAGAAAGTTAGAAATGATTAGACAACTATTATGTACCAGGTTACCAACCAGTACTGCATCTCGATATCACACTGGACTCCTGTAGAATGGCTGGGTATTAGGTTACCTGATCGATAGATATTTCATCTGAATGACAAAAATTATTTGTAAACTGGCCCTGCAAGACAGTTTCGTACCCACTCGAAGATGTCTTTTCAGCTGTACGCACGCGTATTTGATATTTCAGTTTACAGAGGATACGAAAAAAAAAAGATTTCAGTTTACAGAGGATACCAAAAAAAAAAAGATGGTGGTCTGTTGTAGAGGGACTCTGGGCCAGAAGCGGGCCCAAGGTGCAGCAGCCTGTTATCCTTCCACCGATGGAAGCGGGCAGTGATCGCTGCTCTGTGAAGCCAGCCTCACGCTGTGCCTGCCACTTTAGGGCCGGAGAAGCAAAGCAAAGGCCTTCGCCAAAGCCCCTCCGGCCCACTACGCAACTTGGAACGGGCAAGCCAGCAAGATTACAACAACATGGGGCCCAGGATCAGAATCCACACCAAACATCCGCAGCCACCTTTAGTGCCCCCGCTTGGGTTACAGGCTCTCGCTACTGAGCTCGGCGAGGCAGGGTAGGCGAGCTGAATATTTAACTTGGTTTCCCTCTTTGTAAACTGTCGAGGTGGTACTAAAGAGGTGAGGAATAAAGCTGCTACTCACTACCGTTTTGTCATTTGTGGGTGTGTCTTTTCATGGATTTGGACCCCCGGCAGTTCTTCCTCTTGGAATTTGTGGCCTGGTTCGGCCTCTTTCAGCCGATAATGAGTTTTCTTTTGTCTCGTTCGAAATGAGTTTTTAATTTTTCATCTTTACAGATTGGTTATTTTCTGCCGTGCTGCACGTAACCCTTGATTCTAGTAAGTTTTACAGAAATAATCATAATGTAAAATTCAAGTGTTCTTTTTTTTTTATCATTGGCCACTGGCCAGTTTGCGCAGGTAAATCTTCAGTCCTGATTTTTTTTTATCACTGGTCATCTATTCGCTAATTCGGTCCAGTTCTCATAAACCTATAATTTATGTTTTTCTTGTAATGTGCACTGTGCAGCTCAGCGACTGATCGTCAGGGGAAAAGGTTGCTCGGTTTACTACCTTTGAACATTCCAAATCATAGTATAATGGTAGCATAGTTACCGTTTTCCATGATACTCCTATCTCGGCCTTTCAGCCAGCTAAACATCTCCCTCAAAACCAGAAGTGCAATGGACAAGAAAAAATATAGTGAAAACTGAGAGTTTTGTTGCTACCAAGATGGAACCGGACTGACTCATTCAAGCTGTAAACTTGTCACAAATCGCACCCAGGTTTACACATTGTTCAAGAGATACAAACTGCAGCTATAAAGCCACTTGTGCTAACAAATACCACTATAAGAGGATAGGTATATCAGATCGACACAAAGTACAGTCGCTAAAAAGATGTACTAAAAAACCCAAACTTTTATCAACCAACGCAGATCATTATTCCAAGCTCTCTTCAAGAACCGCCCACATCTTCAGACGCAACCAACGAATTTGACATTTCTCAACGCATCACAACCGAGCAAAACCTAAATGTTCATGATAGAGTCAGTCACCTATATTATCATCAAAAACTGAATGCGTTCTCTAAATCATTGCTCTTACAAAAGGCTTACCACAATTCAAGCAACAAAGGCCACCCCTGAGTCTGCTGTGAAGTGACACCAGCACAAACAGGCGTTTATAACCTTCAGAACAGTATAAATCAAGTTAAAGCAGACAGCTTTTACCAGTTTGTCTAAAAAAGGAGAGATACCTATCAATGAAGTTAAGAAAAAAGGTGCACTAGAATGGTTAGAGAGTATAGTACTACTCTAGTATAATTTAGATCCAAGAAAAAGTGTCTGGGTTGTGAAAATACATGCTATTGTCATTTCTTGAGGCAAAATACCCTGTAACGGTTGCTCATGTAGAAGTGTTAAAGAAAGGGATAATGATATGGAGTTAATAGGAGCAGCATGCTTTTTTGTTATATGACCTAAAATGGCATCTAAATCAAGAAAACTAGTGTAACATTCACAATCATTGTCCCTTACAAATATGCTTTGGAATCAATCCAAACATATCGCTAAGGTATAAACAGAAGGATTGTAAAAAAGACAATGACGTTCATGAAATAGGGCATGTAGTGATGTTAAATTTACAAGTTCATACACTAGATTGCACCCACCAGAAAAGTTTGTGTACCACCAATGCAATTTACTCTTAAATTTAATGTTAGGAGTAAAATGAGCAGCAAATGCATACCATTTGCTAAAATATATTGTGTGCAAATTAGTAAGGGAATTGAAAATGTCAAAATAGGGCAGTACCTAACATAACTTAGGACAAGAAGCCACCCAAAGTGCTCCAGATCAAAACAGGAGATCACTAAGGGCTTAAAAATATAGCCTGCATAAGCATACACCACAGATAAGTTTGCAGGACATAAGGAAAATTGTAGGTATATCAAACAAATATATAAATAACTGACCATAAGCAGCTTATTCAGATGCTATTCACCTTACATGGTGCTTCACTGACTGAAGTTCATCTCTGAGTATCTGCATTAAGGAGTAAATACATGAGCTGAAAATCATGGCATGAAAACAGTATACACCAGGTGAGATTCAAAATGTTATTAGAGAATACTTGCCTCCTAGGCTTGTTCTGACGCTGATCAACCTCTTCATTGACAATATCTGCAATGCAAAATGTCAACCAAATATTTATGGAAGCAACTTACAAATTGTAATATAATATAAGAGTCAACATCAATAAAGGTAGTATGATGTACCATTTCGAGGAGGGGAAGCCCCCTTGTTAGCAATAGATTCCCTGTAAGAATGAATAAATATTTTTAATTCCCACTTTCAAAGGAAAATTCATGGATGATACAAGAACACAGATCCAGGTAGGTTACATAATACTAATGCCTTTATATGTATCGCGCCCAAATTCCTCCAAAGTATATTCCCATTCTTATATTAACATTTCTGAATCAAATGTGTATCCAACAGTAATACTTCTTTTAGCCATTCGAGTGATCCACTTCATCAGTTCATCAATATACATACACATTCTGAACCAGTACGTAGTTGAGTACTTTGAATTGAAATACAAAAATGTACATATATCAAGCTGGGGGCTATCACAACTGCATTTGCAGCTAATAATACTAGTCAAAACAAGTGATAATGTTTTTGAAGATGCATACATGGTCAGACGGCTAAGTCTAAAGCAGATGTTCAGCACTTTAGTTTACACCAAGAGGCGCTTTTCCCACAGAACCAGAGCAGCTTAACCCATGTATATAAGCTATTTGTCGATTATATCCTTTACCTGGAAGGAACTGACGATGAGGTCTGTCCTGAAGATCTGGAGTAAAAGGCTGGATCCAGAGCAATATAAGGTGGATATGATCCTCCAAAAGCACCAGCTGCACCAGTTAACAGTGGCAACCTACCAAACCAACATTTCATGTGTTATAAGACAGAATAATATAAAAAATCATGCAAATAAGGCCCAACAGTCAGTATATAGTTTATAAAGACAAAGAACAAAAGCATCATATTGGAATCCATAGGAAAATAAATCAGAACTAAATAAATAGGAGAAAGGTATTATTACATCTTCAACAAAACAAAAATGACGCCCCAAAAGAGTTTATGAGCGAATATTACTTGGGAAAGCAAGTTTCAGCTATAAAATCCCATAACATATTATATTGAAAGATAAAACAAAAGCATTTGTAACAACTATCAATTCCTGCTATCATAGTTTAATTAAACAAAAGCTAGACAAAGTATAGCTAGAAATCAAAACAAGACGTGCTATTCTAAGAACAAGTGAAAATACTGTTTGGTGTAATATTGTCTTATATTCACCCCTTGCAGTTAAGATTACATCCAGTTGTTACACCACAGAAAATATTATTGTGAAAAGCAAATCTAGTGAGACAATGAAATATACCATGTCATTTCGTTATTTCCCATTCCCATCTGCTGTTGAGCCACATAGCCAGGGAGGGCCATACCAACAGTAGGAACTCCAACACCACCAGGATGCTGACTGCCAAATTGCATGACTGCATTAACGATGAAAACAGGAAAGACAATGAGTTCAAGTGATGGCATTGGAAATTAGAAAGTCAAAGCAATCCGATTATTACAAGAAAAGATCTGTTGAATTACTAAGGAAGCAAACCTGGAAGGAGAGCTGGAGTGCCAGGAAAATTTTGTTCGCCCTGGGCAAGACCAATAGCCCCAGCAGCCCCAATAACCTGGGCTCCACCATACATAAAGGAACCCCTTCCTGCTTCCTGACTGTTGGTTTTTCCTGCCCCAGATGATGCATTTGATTTGTTCGAACTAGGATACAGACCATTCTCAACACTTTCAGTTGATCTAACAGGTAGATGCTGAGTGGTTGACGGGTTGCCAGTGCGATGGTTCAACTGCTGAGTTGGTATTCTCATTGCAGATTGAGTTTGCACTTGCCCTGACTTCTGGTGCACGACTGATGTGTGACTTTGCTGGTGTGTAGGAGCCCTAGGATTTTGGTGAAGAGACGAAGTGGACTGATTGTTTGAAGGAATCCCATTTCCTCCTTGAGTTCTAACAACAGAAGATTGACCATGATTAACTGTCGATGCTGCAAATCCTGATGAATTCAACGATGTTCCTCCACTCCTTGGAGATTGTCTAACAGGACCATCAGCATGTTGAAACCTGTCACGTGCACCATAATCCCTTCTAACTGCTGGGCCAGATTGTACCTT